CGTGGATTTATCTCTGGGCTTTCTATTCTGTTCCATTGATCTATATTTCTGTCTTTGTGCCAGTACCATACTGTCTTGATGACTGTGGCTTTGTAGTATAGTCTGAAGTCAGGCAGGTTGATTCCTCCAGTTCCATTCTTCTTTCTCAAGGTTACCTTGGCTATTCGAGGTTTTTTGTATTTCCATACAAATAGTGAAATTATTTGTTCTAGTTCTGTGAAAAGTACCTTTGGTAGCTTGATAGGGATTGTGTTGAATCTATAGATTGCTTTGGGTAGTATAGCCATTTTGACAATATTGATTCTTCCAATCCACGAACACGGTATATATTCTCCGTCTGTTTGTGTCCTCTTTGTATGTACATTTTTGTAGGTCTATTGCCTTAAGATAAATTTCTTAGACACAGAAATGCTGGATTTGGGCCATAACTTAACTGTTTTCAAGATTCTTGACATACTTTTCCGATATAAACACAGCTGAATGTAGAGTACAAGCAATACATCTCCCCACCCCCATCCTGCAATTTGGCAATATCTGACAATTTTTGAAGTGCAGGCCTTGTGGTCTAGCAACTCAACTATCCAGGAATACTGGCACCGATGCACAGATATGTAATCTGGAAAACTTGATGCAGTTTATAAAGGAAAAAATTGAAGTCTAAATATTTGCCAATGGGATTTAATAAATTGCAGTACATTCATTATCTGAATACTGTGTGCTGTTAAAAGAATGATGTAGTAAATAAAAATATGCAATGATATAAATAATATGATCATAATTTAGTCAGTGAAGAGTATAAGAATAAGAAAAAACAATTGATGGGAAAAATATGTTGATAGAGGGAAAATGTTTTAGCTCAAGGAAATTTGGGAGGAGATTATGATAGAGCAATGATCATCTATGACGGCAGTATAACATAAGATTTGCTACACATGTAGAGAGATGAGTAGGAAAAGAATAGACAAGTTACAAAGAGTTTTATGTAATTTTGTTAAGAGATAGCAGTAAATATAAAGAACATATCATTGAAAGTAATGGCCTATGATAGCAGGTATGCTGAAGCACTGAAGTATGTAAAAGCCCAGATGAAAATGAAGTGAAACGGCCTGGGAAAAGGGAAAACAAACGCAAGAGCACTGCATTCAGTGTGTGTGTGTGTGTGTGTGTGTGTGTGTGTGTGTAGCATATATACACACAGAGACACAAACCCATAGTATTTATATGTATACAAATTTTGGTGATAAAAAAAAAGTGAATGTGTAATATATCAATATATTTTATAATGCAACTGTGAAGGTAGATATTTGCTGTAAAAATACTTCAACAGTTTAAATTGCTACAAATATATTCTTCTCCATTCTTCATGTAATATAGTTGAAAAAGAAGACAGTTTTATCCTTCTCCATTGTCGTCTCAGATTCAGCATGGTGATGTCCTCAAGGCACACAGGTTAAGAAAACAAATGCATTTTTTAAAATGGTTATGAATGAGAAGCCCCACATATCAGTGCAGGGCGTGTGTTTCTGTTTTCCTAGGAGGATATGGAAATACTTGGAGCAAAATGGTATCATGTACATTTATTGGGATGCTCCCCTCTGAGTAACTAATAGGTGAAAGCTTCTGAAAGAATTTATTTATTAAATTATAGAGTTACAGAGGATAGTGTCAGGTCAAAATAGACATTTCTAGAGCTATCACCTAAGAGCAAGCAATATAGACAATGTTAATATGAATCTTATAGACGAATTGATATTTGTCTTTTTCATTCTCATCCTTTTTATTAGGAGAGTTTGTATCTATAATCTGTTTGCCAGGGAAAGATGATAAAATAAATTTACTTTCCAAATGTTTGACTGCTGGATGGGGAATAACTGAACCTCATCGTGAGTATATTTATTACCTCTTCTAAAATTAGAATCCAAACAATTATATGTGAAATCTGAGTATACTGTTTATTAACTTTCTGTATTTTTCATAGGAATTATAGTAAAAAAACTTTTTCCATGATAGATCTAAAGGTGACAGCTTGAGTTTTAGGCCATCATATTCATGAACACAAGTTCATTGATTCTAGTTCATTGATACTTCTAAAAACTTGTGTTGGTAACTATCTAATGATGTTATTACCTAATAAATATTTGTGTATATTTACTCCCCAATTGCGCTGTGAGTGCACACATAGATACACACACACACAGTTTATTTTCACAATAGTGTACTTATTACTATTGTAAAAACCCATACTTGAAGATGTATGTGCTTGTTCTTAAAGCTTTCAGGCATTTTTCTGAAATGATAGGGTGGTATAAAAGGTAATTGTGTAGATATGATATTACTTACATGTGGAATTTAAAATGTAACAAAAATGAACTTATCTGTGAGACAAAAACAGACTCAGACATAGAGAACAGACTTTTGGTTGCGAAGGGAGAGGAGTGCAGCGGGGAGGGTTAGATTGGGAGTTTGAGACTGGAAGATGCGAGCTATTATATATAGGATGGATAAAAAACAAGGTCTTGTTGTGTAGCACGGGGAACCAAATTCAATATCCTGTAATAAATCATAATAGAAAAGAATATGAAAAAGAACATATATATACATTATATATATGTGTAAAATGTATATATGTGTCTGAATCACTTTCCTGTATACCAGAAACTATCACAATGTTGTAAATCAACTATACTTCAATTTTTTAAAAAAGGTAAATGGGTGGAAAGATTATGTGGAAATATTCTAGTTGATACAAAGATCAAACCCATGTCTCTGGTCTTACCTACACCCTATTTTCCAAATGAATTAACTAGTTACAAATATCCAACAAAGTAAAGAGTTAGAATGTGATTTCAGTTGTCAGCTTCCAGGCAGTGTCAGTACTTAAACAGAATGTCCTGCTCAGCAGAAGTCAAATCAAAAGAATGAAAAGATGGCAATACCAATGAAGTAAAGTATAGACTTCATATGTAAAAAGTGAATTATGTTGTTTGCTTTATCAACAACTGATTTGGGTATAAATTTGGTCATTTTTTCATAAGGTGGTATCATTTTTATATCTTCTGAGGACTATACTAATGACAAAAGAATGTACATAAAATGTTTTTTGTTGTTTCTGTTGTATAAACCACTGTAGAATAATTAGTTTTTTTACAAGTCACCTAATGGCATCATGGAAGTGCTGAGAGAGGAGATTGAGTAGGATTTACCCCTTGGAGTCTGTGTATATGTAAGGCTAATTTTGTTTTATCCTTTAATAGCATTTGCCTATGTATTTTTTATTTCTTTTCTACTAGAAGATGAATTTCCTAAAACTGTGCAGCAGGCAGAGGTACCACTGATCAGTAGTATGTCTTGTCGAAGCTACTGGGGACTGGAAATTAAAGACACTAATATATGTGGAGGGGCTTCCGGATCATCCTCCTGTATGGTAATTAAGGCCTGTATTCACGAGGGTAGGAGGTTCTTTTCAGTGTTGTCTTCTGAATGTTTGTTTGCTGACCAGAAAGAGGTACAAACGTATGGCAGTTTTAAAGCAAAAAGTGAGAGGAATTAAGTCCATTGCTTAGTTGATGTACTGCGATTGCTAATTTGATATTTGCATAGATTTAGTTTTCAAAAGGAATTACTTGTTCCATTGCTAGGTTGAACTATGTGAAACTGATGATTTTCAGCTATTTTTGACCTACAAAAAAATGATGATTTCTTATGGTTTGACATCATAGCTGAATTAGGTAGCTCAAACTACATATTTCCAGTAGCACTGAAAATATAAAAATGCTGTTGTGTAACTCAAAGCCATCATTTGCTCATTTATATTTATTAGACACATGAAACTTCCTGCATGGTAGTCTACGGTCAGCATAAAATGAATTTATGTTTCTTTCAGCATTGCTTTGAAAATATAAATTTTGAACTGAATCAGAGATCTGTAACATCAGCCAACGAGCTCTGTGGCCCTAGTTCCTTAAGCTGTTGTGAGCAGAAATCAGAGATGGGAGAGTGACTTACACTCTGTCTGATCATCCGCTGCAGTTGGGGGTTGGCGCCCCCCATGAATCATGCAGTCGGGAGAATGAACTCTTTTTGCTGGTTGCAGGGAGATTCTGGAGGACCACTGCAGTGTGGCAAGGGTGGGCAGTACAAGCTCATCGGTATTGTGAGCTGGGGCAGCAGTAACTGCCATCCTGCCGCACCAACAGTCTTCACCAGAATTTCTGCCTACACAGACTGGATCACATCCATCACTGGAGAAGCAGGATCACTGGAAGAGCAGCCTGGTGGAACTGTGATCACAAGTGGGAAAGGAAATAGATAACCACATATCTGGAAAATATGTCTCTTGTCAGCTAAAAAACTCAATGTCACTTCTCCCAACTTTTGTGATTGAGGAGCTTGGATTTGGTATGTAAATACATTCAATATTAAACATTGGTCACAGAAAGTTAAGGTTGGTTCGTGCCTCCTGGGAACTTATAAATCTTAAATGCCATTAAATTCACATCTATGTACTATGTATATGTCACATTTGAATACAACCATATATACTTTTGGGGTTTCCCAAGTGGCACTAATGGTTAAGAACCTGCTTGCCAATGCAGGAGATATAAAGAGGAGATAAAGACATGTGGGTTCATTCCGTGGGTCTGGAAGATCCCCGGAAGAGGGCATGGCAACCTACTCCAGTATTCTTTCCTGAAGAATCCCATGAACACAGGAGCCTTACTATGGTCCATATGGTTGACTACGGTTCATATGGTCCAAAGGAGCTGACTGCAGGTCCATATGGTCCCGACCATGGGCTATGGTCCATAGGGTTGCAAAGAGCAGGACATGACTGAAGTTATTCAGCACAGAACAGAAGGTGGTGCTAATGTTAAAAAACTGCCTGCCAATGTAGGAGACACAAGAGTCGTGGGTTTGATCCTTGGGTCTAGAGGATCCCCTGGAGAATGGAATGGCACCCCACACCAGTATTCTTGTCTGGAAAATTCAATAGGCAGAGGAGCCTCACATGCTACAGTCCACGGGGCCACAAAGAGTCAGACACGACTGAGCATACATATATACTTTTACTATTTTTTCTAATTGGGTTGACATTGAAAGATATGACGAGAAATGCTGCTCCCTCCTTGTAATTCTTAATTTTACTCACACAGATAAGCACAAATATAGGAACGGTCCCTGTAAGTTTCAAAATTTCAATGAGCAACTGACATTTAAGAAATGATTTATCAGGCTTATCACTTGAGTTTTAACTTTTTAGGTAAAATTTAAGATATTTCCATTGTTTTCAAAACATTTATCTGAATTTCAGCTGACCAGTACCATTACCCTCATCTTTCAAAGCTTAGCCAAAAACTAAGGAAGGCCCTTGAGACCAGAGACAATGCCAGAGCCCATCACAAAGATATATAATATAGAATGAGAAAGAGCTTGAAGCAACTTTTTTTTTCTTATTTCCCACCAATATTTACCATTTTGTTTCCAAAATTACAGCATTCAAGAAGGGAGGATAGTTTAACTTTTTAGGTAAGCACAATATAAACAGAGAACAATCTATAAAGAAATAACCAAAAGAGAATTTTTTTTTCTTTTTCTGATCTCCCTTTCTCTTACCCCATTGTTTCCACCCCTTCTCTATTTCTCTTTCTGTCTCTCTTCTCTTTTGCAAATGCTCCAAAAGGAAAGTGTTTTAAAATGTCCTAGTATTTACCAGAAACATCTTTTATGAATTTTGATCTAAGTTGCTTTCATTGATTTAAATTATACTGTTCGACAGAAACTCAGTAAATTGAAAGATGAGATTTATAATGAAGATTCTCTCATTCTTATGTTAATTTGTTTGTAGTATTTTTACTTTGTCTCATTAAATTTCTCTCAGCTTTTCAGGTGATGACATTAAGGGGAGTTAAAGATGGGCTGTATTAAAACAGCAGGCCTGTCTAAAGCATTTTTCTTCACAGTGTGATCTGCAGGGGGCTAATTTGGGTGCCTGGACAATCTCTGATCTCCTGGGACAGTGATCTGGTGGTGATGCTTGAGGGCTCTGGCAGCAAAGATATGGGTTAGCATTCCATGTACTACTTGGGGAAGCTGCCTGACTTTTCTGCAAGGGTCAGAGATTAATTGGTGATCTCTTTTCAGCTTCAGTTGGCAGTAATTTTTAAATTGTTCTGTATTTAATCTTTTCCCTGTTGAATAGGACTGTGTTAGACTATTTTACTGTTAGACTGCTTTACTTGTCCATTTCCTAGTTGAAAGCCAGTTTCACTCAGGAGTGACATAAGCTTTATTTCTTACTGTTTCTTCTTCCCAAAAGCTCTTTTTTGTTCTTTCATTTCAAGGTCAAGCTCTATGTGTATTAGATTGCAATCAACTGTGTACATTGATATAGTCTGTAAGAGTTATGTAGCCAAATTAAAAAAAAAATAGAGACCTAATAACCTAAGATTTTGCTCATGTGTTTATTTAAAAATGTCCTCCATGAGCACCTGCTGTATGGCAAAGAGGGGCACCTTGAAAGAGGAAATTTCCCTCATCTTTAGAATTTCATTCTAGGGGAGAATGATATACAAAGTTAATTACGATTCTGTATGCCATGGAGCTGCCAGCCTAGGAGGAAACAATCAACACTTTCGGCAAAGATGGGTGGAGGTTTTGCAGGAAGAGTAATATATGAACTGAGTTTTAAAGCTCTAATATTAGTTGACTTGATTTTTGCTTTATGTCTTAATGTTTTATACACTGGTATCTGATGTTAAAGAAATCTGTATAAAGCTGTTTTCCTATGAACAACTCCACATACTCTGAGTTTCTCCTATCATTTGGATTCTTGGAACATTTTTATTGTTATTTATCCTTCAGCCATAAATTGCATTACTTAATTTCCTATAACTCACCATCTTATCTTTTTCACAAAATTTTCAATAACATGAAGTGAAATGAAGTTGCTCAGTTGTGTGTCCGACTCTTTGTGATCCCATGGACTGTAGCCCACCAGGCTCCTCCATCCATGGAATTCTCCAGGCCAGAATACTGGAATGGGTTGCCATATTCCTTCTCCAGGTGATCTTCCCAACCCAGGGATTGAACCCAAGTTTCCCGCATTGCAGGCAGATGCTTTGCTGACTGAGCTACCAGGGAAGTAGTAATAACATAGTTCAATAACATAGTTCCAGTTATTCATACATATTCTTTGTCAATTTAACAGTCAACTTAGACCCAACAAGTACCTAATTCTCACCAAAGATTAACTGAGGAGTTGGTGTGATGTAAAAGGCTTTGGGCACTTAACTGATTTCATCTTGGTCTCAACTTTATTATCAATAGCATAACCACTTTCATTTTTCTATTCCTTATAGATACTTATAAAATAAGAGTAAATTTTAACCAAAGTTTCAGTTAGTGGCAACACAAACCACTGTTGGGGCCCAAATATCTAATACATTCTTAAAGAAGCAGAATAAAGGGGAACATTACAACAGAGACCATTAAAACTATAGTAATTAAAACAGAATTCTCCAGGCCAGAATACTGGATTGGGTAGCCTTTCGCTTCTCCAGGGTATCTTCCCAACCCAGGGACTGAACCCAGGTCTCCCACACTGCAGGCGGATTCTTTACCAACTGAGCCAGCAGGGTGATGTTGCTGCAGAGATGAAGAAATCAATTAATAGAACAGAAAGCAAAAGCAAGAAGAAGTGCCATCTTCTCTCTCTAAACTGGCAAAATGCATGGTGTGACAATATAAACAGATGAGAAAGTGGAATGAAGGGAACTCTCCTCACTGGTCAGGGGTGGGGTGCAACTCAGATAACATGGATAATATTGAAGATGCCAATGTCCTCTGAGTTAGCAATTCTACCTCTAAGGAAATGCCCTAGACAGTTGCATGGCTGCAATTAAATGAAAACATCTGGGGCATGAGTGGGGGTGGTGTAATTTATTTTTTTTAATTTCTTATGTTGATTGTAACATGCAGTTAGGTTTAACAGTGTCCTGGGAAAGTGACGCAGTCATGACAACTGAACATGAACCGGGAACTTTATAGAAACATGAATATCAGCAAAAGCTGGAACTCCACATACCCAATACAGAAGCATGGGTAATCAAAAGGTAGTATCCTCACATAGCAGTAAAAACCATAGGACAGTCCACAGGCTCTTTGGATGAATATTAAAAGCAATGATGGGTTTAAAAAGCAAATTTCAGAAGAGTAGGTACCATAGAAAGGTCAGTAACAGGCTAAATTAAACTGTTTAGCTTCATATATGGTTGAAAAAATGCTAGGGAACAAGAATCCACCATTCAGAGCAGTGGGAAGATGGTGGGATAAGACAGAGAAACCACACATAAGTGGTTTTAATAATTTTCTAATTGGGTGGCAGTCTTATAGATGTTTATGATATTGCTCCATAACTTACATATATTTCTGTGTATATTAAATACTACAGAATATACATATACTTATCACTTGCACATACATGCAAGCTCCTAGTATAATTTCTTTGTAATATGTGACACTTTATTAATGTATTAAAGATTACAACTAGCTAAATTTATTGTCACCATGTATAGAATGTTTTGAAGTGACATATATTTTTGTAAAGTACTGATTAGTTGGGAAAAAGTTGCCTTAATATTTGAAATGTGTGAATTTTTTGGAACTTGCTGGACAGGGCGATTTAATTTTTGGCTACATAATTTTCAGAATTAGTATTTTTAATGGTGTGCATATTTTGGTTCTTACGTTTTTTGCTTCTTAAACTAACAAGATCCTGACCAAACAGTTTACTCCTCATTTTCTGTGGGTTACAACCCATGCATTCAAAAAGCAAAACTTTGATTCTGATTTTTACATCACAGGCTCTTCAGATAAAACATTCAGTTGCTTAAGCACTGCATAAAAACATTATAAAATTTTTATTTTCTAGTGTTCCCCTTACATAATTGTTGATATGGAGATGATCTGTAATGTATACATAATATTTAAATCATGAGTGATGTTGATAATGCCATTTATTGTGTTTTAAAAATAGTCTACAAAAATGTTGTCTCCTTCTGTATTTGCACCTCTCATACAGAGAGTTACCATATGCACCTTTTTCTGGTTAGATGCCACATCCAAAGACTCATGGCAATATGTTACATGACAGGTTAAAGCAAAATCAAACAATAAAAAAACCTGTGAATTTAATTTGAAATTGTATATGATATTATATATTTGATAGGAATTTGATATTTGGAGAGAAGAAGATGCAGTTAACCCTTCATATCTGCATATCCATGGATTCAATCAAAGGATGGAAAATATTTGGAAAAAAAAAATTCCATGAAATTCCAAAAAACACAACTTGAATTTGCCACTCATCTTCAACTATTTA